AGGGAGGGAGAGACAAAGAAATAAAGTATTTCATAGTTAAAGAGAGAATATGTTTTATCTCTGCATCCCGCCTTGGAGATTTATATAAAATAAAGGCTCTGAAATTTCTGTAATTAAAAATAATTATTTAAATTTGGGACCAGCAGCTTGTCCCACAGACCAGACACGTCCTTGCCCTGCAGGAGTTCTCCTGTTCCATCTATAGCCCATTTCCCAGCAAGGGACATTGAGGCTGGGGCACGACTGCCCCCCAGCCCACACCAGGCTCCCAAGACTAGGACCTCACCTTCTTTAAAGGTAGGCAGGGCCTCATTTTTTCAATTTTTTTTTCTTCTTTGCTATTTCTTTTTGATTTGCTAATTCTCTCCTCCCTCTTGTCCCACAGACCAGATGGGTCCTTGCCCTGCAGTTCTCCCATTCCATCGATAGCCCACTGGCGAAATCGTGCGGTGCGATTTTATTCTCCTCTGTACTCTTTTCTTTCCTCTTACATTATCCTCTCTTCTTTATCCTCCACTCTTCCTGAGGGATTTGACAGATCTCGAATCCCTGTTATGAACGTCCATAGTATATTGGAAGGTTCCTGGGATCCTCGTCAATACTGAACCACCTGTGATTATCTAGAATAGAGTACCCCTCTTGAAACCACATTACTAAAAACATCAGGAGAGGTACTTCTGCAAACATCAATTCACAGAAAAGGGATATACGCTTGCTCCTAGTCGAAGAAACTTTCTCCTAAGAGATATTCAAAAGTGAATACACCATCTAATGGCCAGAAGTAGGAGAAGAGCCTCAGGTCTGAACAAGTCAGGAAATATGTCTCCATTCAAAGGAATAGAGTAACTCTCCCCCATCTCTCCTAAAATCTGAGGATGTCACCAAAATGTCAGAAAAAAAATTTAGAACCTTCATGATGAACAAATTCTATGAGTTGGAACAGAAAAGAGACAACGAACTTCAGGAGATTAAGAAGTCCTTCCACAATATGAAAGAAGAAATGGGCACTCTGAGAAAGAATCAGATGGAGATATGAGAGATGAGGTCTGAAATAAAGAAAATCAGAAACTCTCTTGAAAGTATTAAGAGTCAATTAGACCATGCAGAAGATCGAATCTCCGATGTAGAAGATAAAACTTATTACCTTGAAAAAAATTTGGGACCAGCAGTTGGAGTAATGACTATGTCGCTGGACTCCCATGTAGTTGACTGTGGTTTAAGTCCCGGATCCAGTGGCTTAAACTCATGCTGGGCACGTGTGCATGTGTGCCCAAGATCCTGAGAAGAGAATGGAGGAGAAGGGATTGTGGCATGACCATCCCCCCTGGGGGGTGATTTCTGGCTTTCTGTCTCTCTGTCTCTTATCTTTCTGGCTAGCACATGCACCCTATAGCAAAAAACTCTCCAAAAAAAGGAAAAAAATTGAAAGAAAAGAAAAAATAACTAATTCTTATTTTAAAATTTTTTACTTGGCAGTGGAAAGAATAGAATCAGATCTTAAGAATTTGTATCATACTATAGTTGAGATATTTTTGGGGGGAAGCAAGGGAGGGAGTTGTTATAGGACATGTGCACTCACAGGAGAGACAGCGAAGAAAAGAGAAAAAAAAATCCCCTGGAGGGTTGGCCACACAGTGCTGAAGTCCCTTCTTCTTTTGGGATTTTGAGCATACATGCACACATGCCCGGTGTTATTTTCAAGCTGCCAGATACAGGACTCAGATCATGGTCAGCCATGTGGGCATCTAATGCCTTAACCACTTTGCCAGCTGATGGCCCTGAGATTCTTTTTTTTTCATATATTCAATTATGTATTCTAACTTGATTCTCTAAATGTTACTTATCCATTGATTCTTGTTGGTTGTTTTTCATTTGTTTGTTTTTTGGTCAGCGATTGTATACACTCACTAGAGAGAAACAGAGACAAAGCACCCCCAATGGAGCATGGTCACAACCCCTTTCCCTCCTTTTCTCCATCCCACCAGGACTGTGGGCACACATACACATGTTGCCTGCATGGTTTTCAAGTAGGGGCCAGGATTCCAACTGTGGTGGGCCATGTGGGATCCAGCTACATGTGCATAGTGCTTAACTTCTGTGTTATATGGGCTGGCCCATATTTATCTATTGATTTTTTAGAAATCTATTTATTTATTTCCACCATATGAGAAAGCGAGAGATACTGAAACCTTAAATAGGATTTTCATGTCATAATTCTCCACCCTGTCCTGCAACCAGTTAGGCTCATGGGTATAAGTGTGTTCACGCCTACCTATCCCATTAGGCTTCCAGCATAGAAGAGCAGCACTCTTACTGCCTGCACCACCACAACTGAGACTAAAAATTTATTTTGAGCACCCAAAATAATTATTACCACTGGTTGACTATTTATCTTTTCATAGACCAGGCATTTTATATACGTATATGTAAGTTTGTGTGTATATATATAATCATCTTATTGATTTCTCATCTCAAACCCATTAAGTTTTGTTAAAATTTTTTTCAGATAAAAAAACCTGATAGCTCAGCTGCAGTGGTGAAATGTCAGTGCACAGCTCTGTAGTGCTGGAAGCCATGCGGGAAGTTAGGGCTTGGTTCCTAGGCTGAACTCTTCATGCCAGCCATGTGATGTGCTTATAATTCTGGCTGGCTGAGAAGGTTGCAAGATCTTGTTGAGGGGATGCATCCTCTCTCTCTCTCTCTCCTTATCTCATAAAACAGTAAATAAATAAACTTTGAAAAAAGAAAGAAAAAAGAAAACCAAGACTCAGTGAGGTTATGGGATTTGTGTAAGGTTATGCAAGATGTGCGTAAGTCAAGTTTGGTACTTTAGATTTTTTGCATCCAGCTCCCTTGTGTCTTCCTTCCTTCCTTCCTCCCTTCCTTACATTTTTCAAATTTTTTTTAAATTTTTTGCAATAGGGCATGTGCATTAGCCAGAGAGAGAGAGACAGAGAGAGAGTAAGGAAAGTACCCCCAGGGGGGGATGATAATGCCACAGTTCTTTCTCCTCAATTTTCCTTTAAAGGTTTGAGTACACACACACACACACACACACACACACACACTTGCCCAGCATGTTTTTCAGTCTGCCAGGTCTAGGAGCTCAACTACCTGGTTGGTCATGTGAGATACAGCCACCTCAAAAACCACATCAGCCGTTGGTCTCCAAACCACTACCTCTCAACTCTGCTATTCCCTATGGTTGGTTATGCCTGTAGAGCACAGCTTTCTGAATCTTGCCTCCTGAATAGATTTGCTCTGACACTGACCACTGGTAGCAGCTCCTTTAAGCAAACACCAATGCTAGATAGTTTATCTTTTGTACATAACAAAGTCTACATTATAAAGAGAACATATGCAATCTGTTTATTTGGTTGTTCATTATACCTCACTATTTGCCTCATAGGAAATGCTTGATAAAAAATTATATTTTGAAAAAAGTTATCTTTTGTGGTGAAACCACAGCTTTGCAGCATTAGAAAGACAAATAAAAGGGTCACTGATTATGCTCTTTTTCACAGAAGTCTCAGTTTTCCAGTCACTTCCCCTTTAATCCTTCATTTAGAACAAATTCTAGTCTCTAATTACCAGATCCTAGGTCTTTGTCCAGGATTACAAGAAACTTTTTTTTTTTTTTTTTTTTTTTGCTATAGGGCGCATGCGTTTGCCAGAAAGACAGAGAGAAACAGAGAGAAAGAAAGCGAGAAATCACCCCCCGGGGGGATGGCCACACCACAATCCCTTCTCCTCCATTCTCCTTTTGGGATCTTGGGCACGCACACACATGCTCGGCATGAGTTTAAGCCACCAGGTCTGGGACTTGAACTGCAGTCGACTACATGGGAGTACAACGACATAGCCATTATGCCAACTGCTGGTCCCCAGGATTACAAGAAACCTTTTAACAAAACTTCCCAAAACTAATAAGAGAATATAGTTGAAAAGGTCAAGGGACCGAAGGGATAAAAAAGGATTGTGTAGAGGTTGAAAACTTAGAAAACTATAGGAAGGAAAGAAAATATCACTTGTCAGATTATAGGAGAGACAAGATTTCAAGTGCTTGGGTTTGAATAAGAAAAACTATCTTTTCAGTCCAGCACAGGAGAAGGAGGATATTAGTAGTTGGGATCTGGACACAAGGTGAATAACAGATCACAAGGTGATTTATACATAAGGAGATGCAGTTTCTAATTCTGTGTTATGTTCCATTCAGTATCAATAGGATCTTGCTTTTATCCACTTTATGGAAAAGAGAATGATGAAAAAACCATAGTAAATGAGGTGGTTCCCATGAGAGATGTTCTATCTTTCCTTTTTATGGAGAAATTTTTGCTATAGGGTGGGTGCGACCATGTGAGAGACAGAAAGTTAGAAACTACCCCCCCCCAGGGGGGATGAAAATACTGCAGTTCCTTCTCCCCCATTCTCCTCTTGGGATATTGGGTACACATGCACACACATACACACCCACGTGAGTTTCAAGCCACCAGATCTAGGACTCGAACCAGCCATGTGGGAGTCCAGCGATGTAAGCATTATACCATCTGTTGGTCTTGAGAGGTGTTCTATCTTAAACCTTAGCATCAAGTTCACCTGACTAAAACAGGTGACAAAGTTGAGGATAAGCAGGGTGTCTTGGGAATGCAGGTGGAGCATAAATGTGAGAAATGGGAGATGCAGTGCAGAAGGGAATGCTCTTTATAACTAGGCTCATCACAGCATGTCTAAGAACGAATTTTAAGAACTTTGTGTATCTAACTTTGTGTTTCTTTTCGTCACCATTCCACTATCATTTCCCTGTAGGCTTTTGTCTCATCTGTAAATGAAAAGCATTGATAATTTCCAAGGTCCTTCTCAGCTCTGACAGCCTATGACTGATCCCTAACACTGAATGTAATACCACTTGCCTGTGGGGAGAAAACTAGGCTGCAGTATAAAATTATCAATTTGACCTTTGAAATGTAAACTGTTTTGACTGTATTTTTACTGTTTTCCAGAGGGAGCTGTTCCTGTTGTTTCAGTATTTGGACACTAAACATAGTTCTTAAAGCGAATTGGTGAAAATGACTATTATCCATCATTCAACACTGAGGTCTGTCTCAAGAGCCGGTTAGAGGGCATGTGGCTATCTGAGGTGGAGAGAATGAAGCAGGAGAGGAAGTTTATTATGCCAAGTACCATGCCCTCCAGAAATCTCAGGAAACCCAGTCACTCGAGCACCATGAGACTTGGAACCACTTGGTATTTGGAATAATTCTCTCTTGCCTGAAGGTATGAAAGATATCTTTCCAATTTTCCTCTTGAAATATCACCAGCTGTCCAAGACATTTTTTAAAAAAAAAAATAGCAGTATTTGGAGGTATTGTATTTTAAAAAGGAGTCAGCAAGGTTCAGCTTATATTTGCCTTAAGGCTTTGTGGCTGTACTTTTGCAGTCAGTTTGAAAAACAGTTTGAGATACTTGTTAAACTTGGAGCACAATAAGACTTACCCATCTTCCTTTTTGAAACTACAAATAATCCTGTATATTTTGATAAAGTCAATAAATTGGCCTATAGAAAGAAGGCAAACCATATCCATAATTCTAAATTCTCTGGCAAGAGAGCCCAGCAACAGTTCCAAAATCCATCTTTTGGATAATTATTAGAGAATTCATAGTTCAGAATGGTATAGAGAGAAACCCTGAAGATGGTAAAAATCATGTGGGATTTACTAAGATGATGGTTAGATACGTTTTTCCTTAATAAGTGATATTTGTATCAAGAACTCTCAGGACCAGTAGACGGCATAATAGTTATGTTGCTTGACTCTCACATGGTTCAAGTCCCGGACCCAGCAACATCAAACTCTCACTGGGTGTGTGTATATGTATTTGCATGACCCAAATCCCAAGAGGAGAATGGAGGAGAAGAGATTGCAGCATGGCCATCCCCCCTGGGGGGTGATTTCTCACTTCATTGCTCTGTCTCTGTCTCTCTCACTCTCTCTCCAGTGAGTGCTTGAGCCCTATAGCAAAAATCTCTCTCTTAAAATAAAAAAGAACTCTATGACTTTAAGATATGAATAAAGCTGTTTTCTTTATGTCATCAGCTTGTGTGAAGTCGATTTTTTCCCTTTGAAATGACTGTATGAAAGGAAATTAAGATCACTGTAAAAGGTCCATCTTATTGCCTAGGTTACAATTCTTGGAGAGATTTGTGAGCAGGAAGTACACTCAGGGATATGGGCAACATCTCTAACAATGATATTGATGGGCAAAGGAAGCGAGATTAAGAAGAAGGAGAAACTAAACTGTGGTAGGGTCACACTACCGTGACTTGCTGCAAGGTAGAGGCCTGCTTTTTGTCCTTTGAAGAGGTGATCTTAGGAAACAAAATATAAAACCTGTAGCTTTTTGTAAGCCTACTGATGTGTACTCTCACATCCCTGTACTTGAAATACATAGAAAACAGGTCCTTTTATAGATTTACTATATTATTGGGAAAGATAAGAGCCACAGGTGTATCTGCCATCTCGCAAACGACGGTCGTTTGTGTAGCAGAAACTAAATTGCTAAGTTGAATTGTTCTCAGACTTTAGTGACCACATGAATCACCTAGGAGTATATTAAATTTTCAGGAGTCATTTCCAAACGCTCTGATTTGGTAAGTTTAATTTTGGCATGTTCAGCAGAAAAAGCACTCCAGATAGGTCTGGAGAAACATGAGAAAAACATGATACAGTGGACACACTTGAGGAGCTACTGACCAACTCAAATGCCATTCTTCATGGAATTCCTCACTACTGAGAAGATCGCGGTGATAACTCTGGATGAAATACATTCTGTGGTGTATTTTAGCATCTACATGCTTTTAAGGGAGTCCAATGTTTTCTCATTTAATTGAAATAAAGTGTATATCCTATTGAATTTCATCTTCTCTGTACTCTGAATGAGAGACAAGCATCAGCAGCACAGAGAATTGTGAAGGACATTTTTGGGGATGATGGAGCTAATACTTAGACAACTTGATCTCAACTCTGGCTCCTCATTTAGGCTCACTGACATCTCTAAAGGCATTGTGCCACTCCATAGTTTGGAACACCAAGCAACTAGCCATAAAATATGAAGAAAATTGCAAAGCGATATTTTGAAAACATAATGTGAACAATGTATTTAGTTTGTTTAGTTAATTTTCATTGACAAAGAAGGTTTTATTTGAATATTTGAATGAAATATCCATGCTATCTCTTTTAAAGTATAGTTACCTCATTTAATAACAGGTCTATATTTTGAGAAGAGCATTGTTGGGTGATTTTATCATTGTGTGAACATCATAGAGCATACTTAGTCCAAACTAGATGATATACAGCTTACTACATACCTAAGCTAAATTATGTAGTTTATTTCTCCAAGGCTACAAACTTGTACAGCATGCTACTATACTATACTGTAGGCAATTGGAATACAGAGTTAAGTATTTGTGCATCTAAACATTTCTCTTTTTTTAAGAATTATTTTATTTAACTCTATTTATTTATTTATTTTTAATTCGACCAGAGAGGGACAGAGAGAGAGTGAGAGAAGGAAATTGAGAAAGCAAGCCACCAGGACTGGGACTCAAGCTACAGTTGGCCACATGGGAGTCCAGCACCCTTAATCACTATGCCTTCTGCTGGTCCACATCTAAACATTTCTAAACTTAGAAAAGGTAGGTAAAAATATGGTATAACTGAGTATATGTATATGTGCCAAAATTTTTCAATCCATTCATCTGTTCTTGGACATTTGGTTTGATTCCGTTTCTTAGCTACTGTGAATAATGCTGCAATAAACATGGATGAGCAAGTATTTTTCTGGCTGAGTGCTGTAAAGATGTATAGTGATTAAGTGTAAAAAAAATCTAAAATATAAACAAAAATGAAATAAATATATCTAAATATATATGATATAAGAGGGGTTTTTTTGAGAGAAATTTTTGCTATAGGCTGTATGTGCTCGCTGGAGAGACAGAGAGATATAAAGTGAGAAATCATCCCCTAAGGGGATGGCCATGCTGCAATCTCTTGTCCTCCATTCTCTTCTCAGGATTTTGGGCATGCAGGCACATGTGCCCAACATGAGTTTTAAGCTGCCAGATCCAAGACTCAAATCTCAGTCAGCTATGTGGGAGTCCAGCGACGTAACCATTATTCCATCTGCTGGTCCCAAGATTTTTAAAAATGACACACTAGTATAGGACCCTTGCCATGAATGGAGCTTACAAATCTAAAAGTTGCTCTGAGTGAATCAATGAGTGAGTGATGAGTGAATGTGAAGGCCTGGGACATTACAGTACACTACCATGGATTTTATAAATGCTGTACATTAAGACTATACAAAATTCAGTAAAAATTATTTTTCTTTCTTTAGTAATAAATTGATCCTTAGCTTATTATAACTTTTTACTTTATAAACCTTCATTTTAAAACATGTTTGGCTGTTTTGTAATAACATCTAGCTTAAAACACGATGCATTGTATATCTGTTTAAAGATTTTTTATAGTCTTATGCTCTAAGTTTCACTGTTTATATTTTTTTTAACATTTTAAACTTTTTGTAAGAACATAGATACTATGACACACCTCCAAATGCTAAATATTCATTATCAACTTTTGGAATAAATGTAACACCTAACCCCATGCCCAGTGCAGTTGTCCTTTTCTGGCAGCTGCCCACCTGCATGCCTTTCAAGCATGAAGGTGCTTCTTTCCTATTAAAAATCCTCTCTTTCATATTAAAACTTCCCTTTTCCTACAAAAAAAGAAAAAAGAAAAAGCTAAGATACAAACACATAAATTAGCTTAGGACTACACAGGATCAAGATCATCAGTATCACTGTCTTTTAGCTTCACATCTTGTTCCACTGGAAGGTCTTCATGGGCAGTAACACACACGGAGCTGTCGTCCCCTATGATAACACTGCCTTCTTCTGAAATACCACTTGAAAAACCTGCCTGAGGTTCTCTCTGAAGAGGTGCCCTGCTTTTCAGAAATGTGTTCATGGTGGTTTGCTTGGTTTGTTTCCTTTACCATCACAGATTTGCTTGTAAGCAGGTAATTCAAGAAGGACGTTTTCTGTTAATGAAAACATATTTGGTATTGGGGTTCATGTTTATATTCATCCCCTAGGGGGATGGCCATGCTGTTCATTTGGTAATGGGGTTCATGTTTTCCGTCTCTTTAGGAGTGTATTGAGGTCTGAAAAAGCTTCTGCTAGATCCCTCGCTGTTAACTTTTTCTTGAGGGATCTTTTTTCCCTCTCTCTCACAGTTTTATTTCTCTTACCTTTTCTCCTGTCCTGCATACTCTGTTGTAGTTCCAACAAGCCTTCATTAGTGAACTTCTTAGGAATCACCTCTAGAGCTTCTTTAATGTCATCCTCATCCACTTTAACCCAGGTTAAAGATGTTTGCTAGCTCTACCATAGCCTTGTTGATTTTTGCAGTCTCCTTTGATTTGATTTGGCAAATCCTTGAAGTCATGAATGAATCTCTTAAGTGTCTTCTTTCAGATATCATTCATACACCTCCCAGTGATATCACTCCAAGCGATATAATTGTAATTCTTCCAGAATTGCATTAAAATCTCCTCAGTGTCTTCCTAGTTGCAACAATACTCTGCCTCAGGTTGTAGGCCTTAAAAATGTCTATAACTTTATAATCCATTGGTTAGAGCAAAAAAGGTGGTATTTAGTGGGAGAAATACCATTTTGATATTGATGAGATTACCAATAAAATGATATGCAGGAGTATTTTCAATGTTAAGGAAAATTTTGAGAGGTATATTATTCTTCAAACAGGCATAACAGTTCAGGGGGCACCTTGAAGGAGAAGCTCAGTCATCCATGATTTCCTATTGGTTCATAGTTCTCTGGAAATGTGGACTTATTGATATACTCGAAGGTCCACAAGTTGTCACTGTGCTAGGTCACAAAGGTTTTCAATTTGTAATCTCCAACAGTACCCCCAAACAATAAGGTTGTTCTGTTCTTTTTTTTTTTTTTTTCTTTTGGAGAGGTTTTTACTATAGGGTGCATGTGCTCGCCAGAAAGACAGAGAAAGAGAGACAGAAAGTGAGAAATCACCCCCTAGGGGAGATGGTCATGCTGCAATTCCTTCTCCTCCATTCCCCTCTTGGGATCTTGGGCACACATGCACACATGCCCAGTGTGAGTTTAAGCCACCAGGTCTGGGAATCAAACTGCAGTCGACTACATGGGAGTTCAGCACATAGCCATTATACCAACTGCTGATCTGAATGTTATCCTGTTCTTAAAAACCTTGAAACTTGGCATTAACCCAGCGCCCTTAAGGATAAAACTCCTTTTAGACATTTGTTTCCAAAATAAGGAGGTTTGAATCATTTTGAAGATTGCTCTGGCAAGTAATTCTCCTCCACAAATAGCTTATCTAGAGTTTTCTCAAATTTTTCATCTGCTTCATTTCAGCACCTGCAGACTCACCACTCACTTTCACATTCGTAGTGAATAATAATTCTTTAGTTGTTTGAACCATCCTGAGCTAGCAATAAATTCCATGCTGTAGTTGGGTTCAGCCTTTTCTTTTTAACGTTGAAAGGAAACTTATTGCTCTGACTGTAATTGTCATGGTACTCACGGGGATATGCCTCTGTATCTTTTCTTCAGTCTAAGTCCTTAGAAGATTCTCCTATGTGATAAAATACCTCCTCAAATGTTTGTCTCACTGCTTTTTTTTTTTGTGTGTGTGTACATGTAATTAGTTTTCTCTCTGCAGAGATGAAACAGATCCTTTAATAGTTTCCGTCACTTTGTTCTTGTTCTTCTATGGTGAAATGGGACATGCTCAACTGGTGAACAATGATAACCAACATTGATTTTCCACTTTTGTAATCCTCAACCACTTTTAATTTTACTTTCAGAACAATCACTTTGATGTGACTTTCTACTCACAATGCTAGCAATGGTTTTGCATGGATAAGGATCATGGTGAACAAAATACGAGATTAAATCGAGCACAAGAGAATATGATGCAATGAAGAGACTTGGTAAACACAAGATGTATGAGGCTACTGCCGATGTAACACTTTCTTTTTCATAATTCAAAAGAGTGTACTGTAAAATAATGGTATAGTATAGTAAATACATAACTCAGTAACATAGCCGTTTATTATTGCTATTGAGTATTATTTGCTGTTCATAATTGTATGTATTGTACTTTCATATGATTGACAATGCAGTAGGTTTGTTTATAGTAGCAGTATCACAAACATGTGAGTAATGCACTGCACTATGATGTTAAGATGCCTATGCTATCACCAGATAATAGGAGTTTTAAGCTCTATTATAATCTTTTGGGACCATCTATTGTTGCAGTCCATTGTTGATCAAAATAATCATTACGAAGTATATGACTGTACTATGTATTGCCTTTAGGTTTAGAGGATTTTTTTTAATAAATATTTTATCTTATTTATTCATTCTTTTTTTTTTTTTAATTTGACCAGAGAGAGACAGACGTTGAGAGTGAGAGAGAGAGGAAGCGAGGAAGCAAGCCACCAGATTCAGGACTCAAACCCTGGTCAGCCATGTGGGAGTGTCCAGCGCCTTAACCACCACACCAGCTTCTGGTCCCGGTTTAGAGGATTTTTTAAAAGAGTTTTTTGCTATAGGGCACGTGCGCTTTCCAGAAAGACAGAGAGAGACAGAGAGACAGAGGCCGAGAAATCACCCTCTAGGGGGCATGGCCATGCCACAATCCTTTCTTCTCCATTCTCCTCTTGGGATCTTGGACACACACGCACATGCGCCTGGCGTGAGTTTAAGCCACCAGGTCCGGGACTTGAACCATGATTGACTACATGGGAGTCCAGCAACATAGCCATTACGCCAACTGCTGGTCCTATAGAGGATTTTTTTAAATTAAGTAAACTTTTCTTTCTCCTTCTAAACTCTTCAAAGGATTGCACCCTAAAATCTCTACAATAGGTGCCACACAAGTTAGCACTTGATCCTGTACTTTTTTGCCCTGTCTATATCAAATATAAAATACATTGAAAGCACTTTGAAAATCTAAAGCACTTCATGCCTACAAATGACCATAATAGCATGGGGATCCCTAAGTGATTTTACTGCTACTACAATATATGCTAGTGAGAAATAAGAGTCTGTCTTCTGCTCTCTTTATAACCTTTATGGTTCCCAGCACAGGCAAATAGAAAACAGTTGTTAATTTGACACTATTCGATCATCATCTCTATATTCACATTATTCTTTCCAGTCCTCTCTCATTAAAAGCTTATAAAATTAATGTCTACAGTCACATCCATAGTTTAAACACATTGGATAAAGGCTATAATAAAGTTGAGTGTCCTAAGATTAGGAACATATGACATCTTGCCTCACTTCCTTCTGTCTTTTTCTGTTGATATAAATTATATTTGACCTCAGATGCACTTTTCTGACAAACCTGAATATGACTCCGAAATCCTTCTTAACACACACTCCAAGATTTTCTACCAGTCCATCAGGGTTGCCTATCAGCCAATCAACACCCAGGATGACATCTTTATCATCTATCTCTTAGCAATTTGATGTTATATGTTTATCTGGATTTTTGAGAAAGAAACCAGTTAAAGTATTATAAAACCTGGGTTTCTAGTGCTGACACTGCCGTGAACAAGCTGTATCTCTCTAGGCAAGTAATTTGATATCTTGAAACCTCCATTTTCTCATTTACAATGTAAGTTATTTGAACGAGATGCTCTCTGGTATACCTACTGCCAGTTGTGAGAGTTGGTAATTTGATGAAGGGAACCCAGCCAGTCACAACCTGGTCGGCTCTAGCAGTTATAAGAGTCCAATAAAATGTGCTTCTTTTCTATTAGAAAAATAACAATTCTGCCTCACCTAGCTGCTACACATTTGCCATAAATTGTGTTTGTAAATTCCTGATGACTCTTTAATGTTTATAGTCCTCTGTGACAAGAGCAGTCACACTGGTTATAATGGAAGTCACTAGGCCTGTATTGGAAAGGTCTGTGGCATAGCTCAATTTCACCGTCACTATTTACTGGGTCCCTCTAGAATGACACTTTGAAGCAATAGATGAATTTCTTTCTTTTTTTTTTTTTCTTTTTTCGGAGAGGTTTTTAGCTATAGGGTGTGTGCGCTCGCCAGAAAGACAGAGAGAGACAGAGAGACAGAAAGTGAGAAATCACCCCACAAGGGGGATGGCCACGCCGCAATCCCTTCTCCTCCATTCTCCTCTTGGGATCTTGGGCACGCATGCACACATGCCCGGTGTGAGTTTAAGTTGCCGGGTCCGGGAGGCGAACCGCAGTCGACTACATGGGAGTGCAGCGACATAGCCATTACGCTAACTGCTGGTCCCATTAATTTATTTCTTTACTACAATAGCCATGCTCTATTTCTAAGGCAAAAACCATTTACTACAGTCCATTTTGAGAGACTTTGGACACTGATGTTACGTCTAAAACAGTAGAGTCCTAATAACAATCTAACCAGCCAAGGATGACGTTTGGCAAAACCTCAGATAGTTAGCGGCTTCTTGTTTCTTGATCTGTCCCTGATCTTCAGGATGAGTTCAACAGTCTCGGTACGTAAGGAGCCCAAAAGCCACTAGCTGAAACTGACCTCCCATGGGGATCATATGCAATAGAGGGTAGGAAAGCCCTACACTGCAGAGCAAAAGAACGGGGTTCTCTGAGGAAAATAAGGACATTAAGAAACATGCATGAAAATTGTTTGTGTCATGAGAACACAGCTTGAGTAGTCAAATAGAAGAAATGTGGGACAGACCCCATGGACTGGTGGCTGAGGGAACTGGATCTGATACAGTCAACTGCATGGTTAGAGCTCTGTCTGGCAGCTTCAAAAACATACTATGCACATGTGCATGTGTGCCCAAAATCTTGACAGGATGGAAACATGGAGAAGGGATTGTAGCGTGACTACTCATTATCAGGAGGTGCTTTCTCCCTTGCCCTCTCTCCTTATCTCTGTCTCTTTGTATTCCTCTCTGATGTGCTCGTGTGACCTCTGGTAATAATTAAAAAAGAAAAAGAAATGCAAATATTCAGAGCTGTTTTGTAACTTCTTGACTCAACTGCAAGTAAGTGAAAACCCATGCTGTTTTCATCTATGATCAGTGTCCCCACACACGTTCAGAGAGCTGGGCTCATCTGAAGGAGCATAGTTGAGTGCACATGTTCTATTTCTGTTGCTGTTTTTCTTTTCTTCCCCTTCCATCTCCTCTGTTTCCTTCTCCTCTCTCTTTCTCCCACACACACAGGTACACATATAACAATTTAAAGCTTTTTTTTTTTTAAGAGAGACTTTTGCTATACAGTGTGTGCACTCATCAGAGCCATAAGGCAGAGAAACAGAAAGCAAAAATTCACCCCTCAGAAGGGATGGCCACACCCATAATCTCTTCTCCTCCATTCTCCTCTTGGGATATTGGGCACGCATACACATGCACGCATGAAGCATGAATTTTAAGCCATCAGGTCTGGGTCTTAAACCGTGATCGACTATGTGGGAGTCCAGTGATGTAACCATTACACCATCTGATGTTCCAAATAATCTAAGTACAATGCTATCTCTAAGGAAGTGAGACTGGATTCAGTTGTTTTTCTATAGCTTTCTAAAACGTTTCTTTTCCTGGGATTTTTTTCCCCTCAAACTTAGAACAAAAATAAAATCTGTGACTCAGTGTAAGGTCATTGTAACACTCATTCGAACAGGACTTTTTTCCCCTATGTGTGGATTTCACAAAGTCATGCTTATAACCCTGTTGTCTGTAGTAGAAAGCCTGTTTAAATTGTTTTATTGGCGATTCATTTAACTATATATTAATTACGTGTAAACTGTGTATAAATTTTATAAGAGACCTTACATGGAATTCATGTGGCATCTGAGAATTTACAAAGTGTCCTCTGACATATGATAGAATGTTAAGTAGTATGAATTTTGCAGAAAAATAACACTTAAAAAAACAGGCAGAAAATTTTTCTATGTTTTCCCCTGTCAATAGGTTTTAAGGTCTCTGTCTCTTCATTCCTTAATATGTAAATTTAAACTACTTGGACTTTTCTAAAAATAAAGTCACATAGAGCATGATTTCATGGATGAAGAACTTAAAACACTCAACAGAAACTGTCCCTTTGACCTCACTTGTCAATGAACATAGTTTGTCATAGTGACAAGAGATCATCATAATCATGAGAAAGTAGCAACTGTGTAAAATATCTGTGAAAGTTCTCTTTTGTTCAAAGTGAACTGAGCCACGGTCTTCTCCTGTGATATTCACAAAATAGACATCCCCAAATTACTAACATTTAGACTAATGCCTAGGACACAGTAACCTCTTGATTAATATTAATTCTTGAATAGAAATCAAACATTTTTAAAATGGAAAATAGTACATTATCCGAAACCCAAAGAGGACACAACCAGGAGAAGTGCTTAAATTACAATTCAAAATCAGAAAGGAAGGGTTGGCTAGGTAATGGTGCAGTGGTAACTCAACTCAACTTACATGGGAAAGGTCTTACATTTGTTTCCTGCGATCTCTCTGAGCAAGCCGGATATGTGCCCATGATCCAGGTCAGCTGGGACTGGAAGTGTATTGTGGTGTGAAGACCCTGTTTGGAGTGCCTCTTATCCTGATCACTCTCTTTGTATCTATCTTTCATAGAATTTATGTATAGATATATAAATTATACATAAATATTATAATTATTCAATAATATAAATATATGATATAATATAAACATAATAACATAAATAATTGTATATTATAATTACATACATATATT